TCTCAATCCACAGCGTTTCAGATCGCTGTTTTTTGTGGGGGTGGGACCAGCCGAGCCCAATCATCTGGCTCCCAGCCTCAGAGCCTTTTTTTTGGTCTCCCACGTGTTCCAGTCGCCTGTTGAAAAGGCGCCAGGATCTGTGTGATTTCCCGTGCGGCGACCCAGTGTGCCGGCTGAAACAGCCACACTGAGATTCGTGGTGCTTTTTTGACTGGAAATCTCCTGGCCTGGCTCTCTGTTTCAGTCCCCTTTTCTGTCAGCGACTCTGTCTTCCCTGAGCTCCAATCGCCAGCTAAAACAGTGCCCGGACCCCTGTATTTTGTACAGAGAACCACCATGCTGGGGCGCCGGCCGAAACAGCCAGTCTGGCTACCTGTGGGGCTCCTCCGCCTGGGAATCTCCTGGTCTGTGGGTAATAAAAATCCGTCTGGAAATGCAGCGTCCACTCACCCTCTGCGCTTTTGCTGGGAGCTGCAATCCTGAGCTGCTCCTAATTGGCCATCTAGGACCCGTCCTCCTTTTTTTTTTTAAATGGGGTTTCACCATGTTGGTCAGGCTGGTCTTGAACTCCCAACCTCAGGTGATCTGCCTGCTTTGGCCTCCAAAGTGCTTGGATTACAGGTGTGAGCCACTACGCCTGGCCAAGGCTGGTCTTGAACTATTATTAAAATTCTTTTAGGCCAGGCACGGTGGCTCATGCCTATAATCCCAGCACTTTGGGAGGCCAAGTTTCAGGCGTTCCTGAGCAGATCATAAGATCCGGAGTTCAAGACCAGCTTGGCCAACATGGTGAAACCCTGTCTCTGCTAAAAATACAAAAATTAGCTGGGCATGGTGGCGGGCACCTGTAGTCCCAGCTACTTGGGAGGCTAAGGCAGGAGAATCATTTGAACCCAGGAGGCAGAGGTTGTATTGAACCAAGATCGTGTCACTACAATCCAGACTGGGTGACAGAATGACACTCTGCCTCAAAAAAAAAAAAAAAATCTTTTAAAAAAACTTTTTTGGGTGGGTGCAGTGGCTCATGCCCATAATCCCAGCACTTTGGGAGGCTGAGGCAGGCAGTTCATCTGAGTTCAGGAGTTCAAGACCAGCCTGACCAACATGGCAAAACCCCATCTCTTCTAAAAATATAAAAATTAGCTGGACATTGTGGTGCACGCCTGTAGTCCCAGTTACTTGGGAGGCTGAAGCAGGAGAATCACTTGAACCCGAGAGGCAGAGGTTGCAGTGAGCTGAGAGCATGCCACTGCACTCCAGCCTGGGCAACAGAGGGAGACTCAAAAAAAAAAAAAAGTTTGGCTCCTGACATAGCCCTCAGGAGAGCCTTAGAACATGTGCCCTGGTCTTGAACTCTCGAGCTCAAGCAATCCACCCACCTTGGCCTCCCAAAGTACTGGGATTATAGGCATGAGCCACCATGCCCTGCCTGGCTCCCAGAGTTCTAGTCAAACATCTGCATTTGCCTGTTGAGCATTGCTACCTCAATTTACTGCTGTCTCCTTAAACTCAACATGCCCCAGAGCAGGTTCATCATATGTACTGCACACAGTGACAGTCATAAAGCCCTGAGGAAGGAAGGCTATAGTGAGCATGTGGTTTACACAAGGCTCCATACATGGCCTGTGGTTGGAGATGGTGGCTGAGAAGACTCAGAGGAGTGGCTGGGGTTACTGGAAGTGGGCAGTTCATCGATCCTTGGGGCAGTAGCAGAGAAATGGACTTACCAGAGCAGAGGTTCCTTTTGTGGGTATGTTCACTGGGGTTTGGTGTGGGGGTAGAGTAGTAAGCAATTTGACATCAAATCGTGAGGGCATGAACACCAGCCGCAAGAATTTGGGCTTTATCTCATGAGTGATGGCGTGACATTGTAAGAGCAGAAGGGCAGTAATCCTAGCACTCTGGGAGGCTCAGGTGGGCAGATAACTTGAGGTTAGGAGTTCATGACCAGCCTGGCCAAGATGCTGAAACCCAATCTCTACTAAAAAAAAATACAAAAATTAGCTGGGCGTGGTGGTGGGTGCCTGTAATCCTGCTACTCAGAGGCTGAGGCACGAGAATCGCTTGCACCCGGGAGGCAGAGGTTGCAGTGAGCCAAGATCACACCACTGCACTATAGCCTAGTGACAAAGCGAGACTCCATCTCAAAAAATAAAATAAAAGACCAGAAGGGGAACAATAGAGATGGCAACCGAAGGCCAGGTGCAGTGGCTGACACCTGTATCCCAGCACTTTGGGAGGCTGAGGCGGGCGGATCACCTGAGGTCAGGAGTTTGAGATCAGCCTGGCGGCCAACATGGCAAAATCCCATCTCTACTAAAAATACAAAAAAATTAGCTGGGCGTGGTAGCACGTGCCTGTAATCCCAGCTACTTGGGAGGTTGAGGCACATGAATCACTTGAACCTGGGAGGCAGAGGTTGCAGTGAGGTGAGATTGTGCCACTACACTCTAGCCTGGGTGACAGAGCGAGACGATCTCAAAAAAAAAAAAAAAAGCGATGACAAGTTAGTTTGATCTTGCTGTAGGGGCAGGATGGAAGGAAGGTGGGGAAACAATAAGAAGGGTTCAGCTCTTGGTAGTTGTGAGCAGCAGAGCTCACAATGGACAAGGACAGAGCTGGGCACAGTGGCTCACACCTATAATCACAAAGACTCAGGAGGCTGAGGTGGGAGGATTGTTTGAAGCCAAGAGTTGGAGACCAGTCTGGGCAACATAGCAAGACTCTATCTCTAAAAGTAAAATTGGCCAGGTATGGTGGCACATACCTGTAGTCCTAGCTATTCAGGAAGCTGTGGCAGGAGGATCACTTGAGCCCAGGAGTTTGAGATTACAATGAGCTATGATTGTGCCACTACACTCCACCCTGGGCAAAAGAGATCCTATCTTTTATTTTTGAGACAGAATTTCGCTCTTGTTACCCAGGCTGGAGTGCAATGGCGTGATCTTGGCTCACTGCAACCTCCACCTCCTGGGTTCAGGCAATTCTCCTGCCTCAGCCTCCTGAGTAGCTGGGATTACAGGCACGCACCACCATGCCCAGCTAATTTTTTGCATTTTTAGTAGAGATGGGGTTTCACCATGTTAACCAGAATGGTCTCGATCTCTTGACCTCGTGATCCACCAACCTTGGCCTCTCAAAGTGCTGAGATTACAGGCGTGAGCCACCGTGCCCGGCCTTTTTTTTTTTTTTTTTTTTTTTTGAGACAAAGTCTCACTCTGTCACTCAGGCTGGAGTGTAGTGGCACGATCTCAGCTCACTGCAACCTCTGTCTCCTGGGTTCAAGTGATTTTTCTGCCTCAGCCTCCTAAGTAGCTGGAATTACAGGTGTGTACCACCATGCCTTGCTAATTTTTTTGCATTTTTAGTAAAGACAGGGTTTTGCCCTATTGGCCAGGCTGGTCTTGAACTCCTGACCTCAAGTGATCCACTTGCCTCAGCCTCCCAAAGTGCTGGGATTACTACAGGTGTGAGCCACCATGCCTGGCCCAAGATCCTATCTCTTCAAAAAACAAAAAAAAAGGACAAACACTGTACCAAGTAATCTCCATCCTTTGTTCCCCTGCCTGGTGATTGTACTATTAGGCATTGTTTCTGGGTGCTCCAGCACATACAGCCCTGGGATGACAAAGAAGAGTTAGGCATTGTGAGTTTTCTTCCTATTTGGACTGTAAGATCCCGGTGGGTGGGGGAGAGACTGTCACATACTATCCACCTTGTATTCCCTCAGTGTTGAGTACAGAGGCTCCCAACAAAAGTCCATTGACAAAGGGGTAATTTCCTTGACGTAAATAACAAAGGAGAAGAGGGTTAGGGCTTGCTGGAGAAGAAAGAAAGATTTTGGATTTCGACAGGTTGTCAGATGTACCAGGAGCCACATGGGCTCCACTCCATGTCTGGAGGTCTATCCTGTCTTCAGTCTCCCTGGCATCTACCGTTTCTTTACAGAGCTGCTGCCATTAACCATATTTACTGGAGTTCCTCTCCCTCAAGATGGGCTGTAGAGCGGAAATCAGTTTTATTGCTGTGTTCTCTCCCTCCAAAACCACCTATCAAACCAAAGAAACAAAACTAGCATATAGGCCTTTTCTTGCTTTATGGGTTATACTGCTCTGGAGTGGGCTCTTAATAATACATAATAATATGTAATATTATATAATAGTATATAATAATAATGCCCTTCAATGTAAGGACATTCCAAAGCTTCCTGAGTCTCAGAATGTTAAAATAGTCATTGTTTCTGGTCTACATACAGTTCCTATCTTCCTTTTGTAGGTGATAACCAAAAGATCATTGTAGGCTGAGCCACTACAGATGTAGTGGCTCACGTCTGTAGTGCCAGCATTTTGGGAGGCAGAGGCAGGCAGATCACCTGAGGTCAGGAGTTTCAGAGCAGCCTGGCCAACATGGCAAAACCTTGTCTCTACTAAAAATACAAAAATTAGCGAGGCATGGTGGTGTACTCCTGTATCCCACCTACTTGGGAGCCTGAGGCAGGAGAACCACTTGAACCCGGGAGATGGAGGTTGCAGTGAGCCAAGATCATGCCACTGCACTCCAGCCTGGGTGACAGCAAGACTCTGTCCCCACCAAAAAAGGTCACTGTAATTCCCCTTTGTTCATTCAGCCTCTGCCATCACAGATCATACAACCCCTCTCTCTGGCATGTGCTCTATGAGGGGTGGGGGTGGGGGAGCAGGATATGTCTCTCTTTTTCCTTAAAGCTTCTGGATGATAAAATTAACCTTGAGGATTTTCCATCTCTTGAAACAAGTTGGGAAAAGCAGGGTAATCCTAGGGCACTTGTTCATAATTTGGGTCCAGGCCTCTTGGAAAACCCAATGACAACTATGGCATCTCTCCTCAAAAGATGGCCAGGCCCACACAACTGTGTAACAATTCTGGGGTTTTATGGTTGCCAAGATGAACATAGAGATCCTTAGATTTAGAGGATCATCATAATTTGACAAGCCCCTTTTACTTTCTCCCTATCCCTATAGCTCCTGCCTGAAGAGTCACTAAGTCTCTTTTCTCAAGAATGTCATAAACAAGCCATGCAGGCTTTCAAGCTCCACATGCCACGGGGTCGATACTGGCGGCTTCGTCTCTGTCCCGGTAACTCCTCATCCTAGCTTCTCCTTCCAGGGTTTAAAGGGGGTAATAGTGTCTCAGCCCCTCCAAATCCCTGTTCCACTCCGCTGTCTCCATCCTTGTCCTAAGCTTTTGTGCCCTTCCCTCCCAAAATCCGATCCTCTTCTCCCAAACACTCCATTTAGGGGTTCAGTGGATTTCCACAGCCTCATATCCTGTCTTCTCTTTACTCCAGAACTTCCCAGTGTTCCTAGTGAGTATGCTGGTTTAGTGGTCCGCACCGTACTGGAGCCTGTGTTGCAAGGACTGCAAGGATTGCCACCCCAAGCCCAGGCCCCTGCTCTTGGTCAGGCACTGACAGCCATCCTGGGTGCCTGGCTTGACCACATCCTTACCCATGGGATTCGGTTCAGGTCAGGAGTAAAGGTGGAAGTAGCAGGGGGTGAATGAAACTGGGAAAAGGAAGGTGATAAATAAGTGGGTGAGGCAGAGCAGTTAGGAGAGGCTGGAGGGTCAGGTGGCCATACTGTACCTCTGCCTTTAGCCTGCAGGGAGCACTGCAGCTCAGACAAGACTTTGGAGTGGTCAGGGCACTGCTGGAAGAGGAGCAGTGGAGCCTGTCCCCTGATCTCCGCCAGACCCTGCTCATGCTCAGCATCTTCCAGCAGCTGGATGGGGCCCTATTGTGTCTGTTGCAGCAGCCCCTGCCCAAGTCTCATGTCCACAGGAGGCCCCCCTGTTGCTGTGAGTCACTCCCCTTCGCTCACTGCTTTGTGTGCCCCATACCCCATTCTCACCACTGATCTGGCTTCAGTATATCCCCACCAGCCACCTACCTTCCACTCCTGCCTTACCAGGTGCTTGTCATGAGGTCCAGACCACAGAACTGCCCAGCAACTCCCTCAATAGCCTGGAGAGCTTGGAGCCACCTCTCCAGCCTGGAAGATCCCCAGCCCAGACAGCTCAGCTGCAAAGCACACTAGGTGGAGGAAGACCTAGCCCCAAGGCCTTCCTGGTGGGAAATCAGCAGGCCTGGCTTGCCCTCAGGCAACACCAGCGACCCCGCTGGCACCTGCCTTTTCTTTCCTGCCTGGGAACCAGTCCTGAATCCTAAAGAGCCTGGGACCAGAAGTCAGAAAGTTAGAGCTCCCTCCCCATCTGTAGCTGGAAAAATCCAGACATTTGGAATTGCCTAGAACTGGAAGGAAGCCTAGAACTGGCAGCTTGGAGGAAAGCATACTGGAGAACAAGCTACACAGAGCCTGGACTTAAGAATCCATGATCACTCCAGCACTTGGAATCCAGAGTAAAGAGCAAGACCACAGTCTGGAACCCGAAGGTCAGCACCCTTGGGAGGTTCAGGCCTAGTTCTCCATCAGGAAAGGCATCTCAGGGCTAAAGAGTTGAGTGTTCAGGGATAAGGAAAAGGAAAAGCTTTTTCCTTTTGCTTTTCCTGTAGAAAACAGAGGCTAGATGGACATGGTGGCGGCAGGCACCTGTAATCCCAGCTACTCTGGAAGCTGAGGTAGGAGAATCACTTGAACCTGGGAGGTGGTAACTGCAGTGAGCTGAGATTGCGCCATTGCACTCCAACCTGGCCAACAAGAATGAAACTCCGTCTCAAAAAAATCAAAAAAAAAAAAAAAACCAACAAAAAACGTAAAAGTAAACAGAGGCTAGAATGCACTTCAGCTTAAGTCCTAGTAGCCAGGCTAATTCATGGGTGTTGGATACAATGAGTTATAAATTTCTCTTCAAAGAATCAGTATGTCAGTATATTCAGTTCTTTGTCCTCCACTTTGAAGTTTAACTTCCTTGTAGTTTCACTAAACAATCTTTTCCACTAGTTCTAATCAGTAGTTCACATCTGTTCCCAGTCCCCTGCTCCATCCTGACCATCCCGGTCAACTACTTTGACCTGAGCCACCCATGGTTACCTGCTCTGACCTGTCTCCTAACTGTCCTTCCCACCAAACTACCCATCCCACCACTCTGGCTGGTACCCCTGCTTGCCAATCAGAATTAATCTAGACTGTGTGGTCTAACCCTAGCCAGAAGGGGAATGACACAGCAGTAGGGGCTACCTCCGTCAGGAATAAGTACCCCTTCCCTCCCTTGTCTAGGTGTGTACTCACCATTGTTCCATCTGTGAGCTGAACCTTTTTTTTTTTTTTTGAGACGGAGTCTTGCTGTGTCACCCAGGCTGGAGTGCAGTGGCGTGGTCTTGGTTCACCGCAACCTCCGCCTCCCAGGTTCAAGCAATTCTCTGCCTCAGCCTACTGAGTAGCTGAGATTACAGGTGCCCGCCACCATGCCTGGCTAATTTTTTGTATTTTTAGTAGAGACGGGGTTTCACCATCTTGGCCAGGTGGGTCTCCAACTCCTGACCTTGTGGTCCACCTGACTGGGCTTCCCAAAGTGGCTGGGATTACAGGCGTGAGCCACGGTCCCCAGCGAGCCTCACCTTTCCATACAAGTAAATTGCCAGGGCCGGGCGTAGTGGCTCACGCCTGTAATCCAAGCACTTCGGAGGCCAAGGCAGGCGGATCACCTGAGGTCGGGAGTTCAAGACCAGCCTGACCAACATGGTGAAATCCCGTCTTTAAAAAAAAAAAAGAAGTAAATTGCCAGCTGGACACAGTAGCTAAAGCCTGTAATCCCAGCACTTTGGGAGGCCAAGGCGGGCAGATCATGAGGTCAAGAGATTGAGACCATCCTGGCCAACATGATGAAACCCCATCTCTACTAAAAATACAAAAATTATCCAGGTGTGCCTGTAATCCCAGCTACTCAGGGGGCTGAGGCAGGAGAATCACTTGAACCCAGGAGGCGGAGGTTGCCGAGAGCCAACATCTCCATTGCACTCCAGCTTGGTGACAGAGTAAGACTCTGTCCCCCACCCCCCCAAAAAAAAAAGTAAATTGCCTTGCTAAGGAAATTTATATTCGAGTACTACTTCTTTTGCAGCACCGAAAATTTACATGTAACATGGGGAACCACAGAGATGTAACAGGCATTTCTACACCTGGATCAGCTCCAAGGACAGTATTACCCTGTACTGCTCTTTCCATTACTATTTTCAGTCATTTACGAACATTGGGCTGTAGTACTTTCACGTTTCAGCTTTGGCTATTCAGAGGTCACCGTGTTTAATCTTAAATTACCTGAATGGTGTTTATCGCCTGGTGTGGATCACCCGGGGGTGTGTTAGTGCTGTCCCTTTGGAAGGGGCCAGGACTTAAGATCGAGTTAGCCTATATCTGGCTGGCCCCGCAGGGTACAGAAGAGGAAAGGTTGCAGAAAACAGGCGTATTTTCGTGCAAAGAGGTTTTTGTGCCATTTATTTATGGTTTTCACCGTGGTATAAGAGGACTATTAATGATAGGTTGTATTTGCTGACCGCCTACTTTGGGCTCTCCCATGCGTTGTGCCGAAACCACCTCTTCCTCGGGCCTTCCTCCGCCTGGGTTGGAGAGCCCAGAGCGGCGGTTGGCAAGCATGTTTGGCTGCGGGCGGCAGGAAGTCGGTATCCCGCAGAAGCGCACCCTTTCATGGTCTCACATGTATGCGACACTTCCGCCTGCACGAGTTCTTCCGGGGCGGAGGTCACCATGGCGGCTGCCTTGGGACGGATTGGTCTACGCCCTGTCAAGCAGGTTCGAATCCAATTCTGTCCCTTCGAGAAAAACGTGGAATCGACGAGGTACGAAGGGGAAGAGAATAGGAGCGGGAAGTGGTACGCCTTCCTTCGGCCGAGGCTTTAAGCCCTCAGCCTGGCGCTCACGGTGTTTTTTCACCGTAGGACCTTCCTCCAGGCGGTGAGCAGCGAGAGGGTCCGCTCCACTAATCTCAACTGCTCAGTGATTGCAGACGTGAGGCACGACGGCTCTGAGCCCTGCGTGGACGTGCTGTTCGGTGCGCTTGGGTGGGGAGACCGGCGGGAAGGGACAGCAAGCAGCCCGCGCTCCCCTCAGCCCCAGCCCTGCCGTCCCTCCCTGTCTGACTCGTTTGTTTCTTCCCCAGGAGACGGGTATCGCCTGATTATGCGCGGCGCCCATCTCACCGCTCTAGAAATGCTCAGTGCCTTCGCTTCCCACATCCGGGCCAGGGAGGCGGCGGGCAGCGGGGACAAGCCGGGCGCTGATGCTGGTCGCTGAAGCGCGGAAGAGACCAACGAGATGATTTTAGCGTGGACTAGGACACTTAACCTAAGAAGAGTTTCACTTAATCATTCAAATCACTGTGTGGAGGGCCACAGAGTGCAAAATAAAACTTAAAACCCTGCTACCACAAATGTTTCTGGAGCAAGACTAGATCAGGGAGGATTAACCTAAATTTATTTCAGTTTCTTACCATCACTCACTGTTTAACCCCTTTGAATTTGGCTTCTGGCTTCTACCATTCAAGGTACCTCTTTTTTTGTTTTTTTTTAAGACAGGTCTAGTTTTGGTCGCTCAGGTTGAAGTGCAGTGGCATGATCATAACTCACTGTAACCTGGGCGTAGTCGATCCTCCCAAGTAGCTAGGAAGCTGGGACTACAGGCACGCACTACCCCATTCAGTTAATTTTTAAATTTTTTGTGAAGAAGGGATTTCACTATGTTGCCTAGGCTGGTCTTGAAGTTCTGGACTCAAGCCAGCCTCCCACCTTGGCTTCCCAAGGTGTTGGGTATCAGCCACTGTGCCCAGCCCCCTTACTCTTACCAAATCCAGTGTGAACACTGATAGGCCAGGTGCAGTGGCTCACGTCTGTAATCCCAGCACTTTGGGAGGCGGAGGCCGACAGATCACCTGCATGGCGAAAGCCCGCCTCTACCACAAATACAAAAAAAAATTGGCTAGGTGTGGTGGTGACACATGCCTATAATCCCAGCTACTTGGGAGGCTGAGGCAGGAGAATTGCTCAAATCCTAGGGGCGGAGGTAGTGAGCAGAAATCGCACTACTGCACTCCAGCCTAGGCATCAGAGCAAGACTCTTGTCTGAGAAAACAAAAAACACTGACAGTGCTGTTTTTTTCAGCTCTCATCTTTCTATCCCAGTTCTATCTCCCATTCTTTTTTTTTTTTTTTTCCAAAAGAGGTGGGGTTTTGTCCTGTTGCATGGGGTGGTCTCTAACTCTTGAGCTCAAGTGATCCTCCCGCCTCCCAAACTGCTGGGATTACAGGCGTGAGCCACCGCACCTGACCACATCTGCAGCTCTTGTTTGTTGTTGTTGTTGTTGTTTTTAAATATTTTATTTTAAAGACGGGGTTTCACCGTGTTGGTCAGGCTGGTCTTGAACTCCCGACCTCAGGTGATCCACCTGCCTCGGCCTCCCAGAGTGCTAGGATTACAGGCGTGAGCCACCGCGCCTGGCCTGTTTTTGTTTTTGTTTTTTTTGAGACAGAGTTTTGCTCTTGTTGCCCAGGCTGGAATGCAATGGCAGGCTCTCGGCTCACCACAACCTCCACCTCCCAGGTTCAAGTGATTCTCCTGCCTCAGCCTCCTCAGTAGCTGGGATTACAGGCATAAGCCACTGCACTTGGCCCTAATTTTTAAATTTTTTGTAGATTGCAGGGGGTCTCCTCATCTTGTCCTGGCTGGTCTTGAATTCACTGAACTCAGGCAGTTCTACCTTGGCCTCCCAAAATGCTGTGATTACAGATGTGAGCCGCCAACGCCCAGCTGGAAGTATTCTTTTAGGAAACTCATTTTAAATCTGTAATGCTGTATATAAATTGTGTGTGTCTGTATCTGCATGTACTGAGTTGCACCATGGAATTATTTATTGTGGGTTAGAAAATGGTTGAAAGCCACGGCTTTAGACACCTTCACAATGCTCAGCTAGGTAATAAAAGGTCTCTAGACAGTAGCTGCTGTGTACTTTGCGAGGTACATTTCCCATGACCTTCCTATAGCAGCATTACTATACCTTTTTCTTGTCTAAAAGGGTGCTGTCTTCAAAGGACTGTTTTCCCCCTCCCCCTTTAAAAAAGAAAGCTAGGTGGAAGTGGTATAGTGTTGTAAAGAGCCAGAATGCTTGGGGTTGAAATCCTACTTTTGTGGTTATGTAGCTATATGACTTCGGACAAAGTATTTAATCTACCAGTGCCTATTTCATTTGTAAAATGAAAATACTAGTACCTTCCTCATAGGACTGTTAAAGAGATTAAATGCATTCATATCTGTAAAGTACCTACAACATTGCTGGGACCATAGTAACTACTATTATCTAAAAGGCTTTTTTTTTTTTTTTTGTAAGACAGTGTTTTGCTCTTGTTGCCTGGGCTGGAGTGCAATGGCGCAATCTCGGCTCACCACAACCTCTGTCTCCCGGGTACGAGCGATTCTCCTGCCTCGGCTTCCCGAGTAGCTGGGATTACAGGCACCCATCACCATATCTGGCTAACTTTTGTATTTTTAGTAGAGATGGGGTTTCTCTACCAAATTAGCCGGGTTGGTCTCAAACTCCTGATGTCAGATGATCCACCTGCCTCGGCCTCCCACAGTGCTGGGATAACAGATGTGAGCCATGGTGCCCAGCCACATTAATCTTTCAAATGAAATCTCACTCTGTTGCCTAGGCTGAAATGGCACAATCTCGCCTCACTGTAACCTCCACCTCCCGGATTCAGGCGATTCTCCTGCCTCAGCCCCTGAGTAGCTGGGATTACAGGCATGCGCCACCATACCTGGCTTAATTTTTGTGTTTTAGTAGAGATGAAGTTTTGCCATTTTGGCTAGGCTGGTCTCAAACCCCTGACCTCAGGTGATACAGCCACCTCAGCCTTCCAAATTCTTGGGATTACAGGCGTGAGCCACCACACCAGGCTGCATTAGTCTTACATAATGAGTTTGATGGGAAGTGTGATGATAGCTAGGGGGCATAAGGATATACAGTAGTGGTTTTTTGTTTGTTTTAAAGAATGGGATAGACTTCTTTATATAAATACCTTCTAGGTTGGGCTGTTGGTGAGAAATCTGTAACTGAATCTAAGCTGCATTTCTGAAATGCCATTAAATGTTTCCTGCCAAGTGGGGTGGCTCACGCCTGTAATCCCAGCACTTTGGGAGGCTGAGGTGGGTGGATTGCTTGAGCTCAAGAATTCCAGACCAGCCTGGGCAACGTGACAAAACCCTGTCTCCACTAAAATACAAAAAAAATAGCCAGGTGTGGTGCCCCACACCTGTGATCCTAGCTACTCGGGAGGCTGAGGCATGAAGATCGCTTGAATCCGGGAGGCACATTGCAGTGAGCTGAGATCTCACCACTGCACTAGAGCCTGGGAGACAGCAAGATTGTCTCAAAAAAAATAATAAAGTAATGTTCACTATCCTATTCTAGGTCAATCTGACTTACAGATTCTACATACAACCTTCTCTGACCTGGATATAAACCATCCTTTCTGCCTTCTGGGTTGTAGAGAGGAAAATGCCTTCTGTAAGTACTTGCACCACCACTATCATTGTTTTAGGGTTCATCTAGATAAGAAATCCCAGACTGAGTGGAAACACAATTTGTCTGAAGTCACAGCTGGAACAGAACCCAGGCTTCCTCTGGGGTCCACTCCTGCACTCTCAACTCCATTAGGAAAGAAGGCACCGGTGTGGGCAAACTCATCCAGCTTGATTCAGATATATGTGGGTTCCAAGCAAGCCACTTTCCAGCTGTATGGCCCGGACCAAGTTTACTTTTCCTGCCCCTGATTTTCACGGGGTGGTTAAATGTAAAACACCTGAGATAGTGTTTTACACTTAGGTTCCTAATATATAATCGTTATAAAAAAAAAAAAATGCCGGCCGGGCGAGGTGGCTCACACGTGTAATTCCAGCATTTGGGGAGGCCAAGGCGGGCGGATCACCTAAGGTCGGGAATTTGAGACCAGTCTGACAAACATGGAGAAGCTCCGTCTCTACTAAAAATACAAAATTAGCCGGGCGTGGTGGCGCATGCCTGTAATCCCAGCTACTCGCGAGGCCGAGGCCGGAGAATCGCTTGAACCCCGGAGGCAGAGGTTGCGGTGAGCCGGGATCTCGCCATTGAACTCTAGCCTTGGTAACAAGAGCGAAACTCCGTCTCAAAAATAAAATAAAACAAAATAAAAAACAAGCCAGTGGTAGATTGATTTTTCTGAGCCTGTGAACTCCATGGAGTCGCCAGATAAGCGCAGCCCCGGCGGATCCCCGCCCAGGACAGACGCTGCGCACGAACCCTACGCAAAATCGTAGGAAGCAGTTCCGGACTCCGGGACCAACATGACGTGGCGAGGCGGGACTGCCGGCGGGAGGCGGAAGTGCGGACTGGCAGGTGTAGCTGATCTGACTGCGGTCCGCGAAGCGAGAGGCGGGAGCCGGAGAGGCGAGGTAGAAACCGAGCTCCACTGCCGCCTTTCCGAGCTCTCGCGACGCGGACCGAGATGGCTCGGGGCGAGCGGCGGCGCCGCGCAGTGCCGGCAGAGGGAGTGCGGACTGCCGAGAGGGCGGCTCGGGGAGGCCCCGGGCGACGGGACGGCCGGGGCGGCGCGCCGCGTAGCACGGCTGGAGGAGTGGCTGTGGCCATAGTGGTCCTGTCTTTGGCCCTGGGCCTGTTCGGGCGCTGGGTGCTGGCGTGGCACCGTGCGCGGCGGGCGGTCACGCTACACTCCGCGCCTCCTGCGCTGCCCGCCAACTCCTCCAGCCCCGCCGTGGCCCCGGGCCTCTTCTGGGGAACCTACCGCCCTCACGTCTACTTCGGCATGAAGACTCGCAGCCCGAAGCCCCTCCTCACCGGTAACCGGGCTCCAAGGCGGGCGGGCAGGCGGATTCCTAATCTGGGCTCCCCAGCTTGAAGCCAGAGCAAGGGTGGGGAGGAATGGATCAGGAGAGTTACGAAGAGGGATGACCCGGAGGAACAGGTCCCCTGCTCTTTGACTTACGTGGCCATTCTACCCCCAGGACTGATGTGGGTGCAGCAGGGCACCACCCCGGGGACTCCTAAGCTCAGGCACACGTGTGAGCAGGGGGACGGTGTGGGTCCCTATGGCTGGGAGTTCCACGACGGCCTCTCCTTCGGGCGGCAGCACATCCAGGATGGGGCCTTATGGCTCACCACTGAGTTCGTCAAGAGGCCTGGGGGTCAGCACGGAGGGGACTGGAGCTGGAGAGTGACTGTAGAGCCTCAGGTCAGGGCCTCAGGACACCCTTTCCTCAGCCCAGACCCCCTCCATCCTTCCCTTGCTGCCAGCAAATGCAGCATGAAGTGGGCTCCAAGACTGGCTGCCTGGCTTAAATCCTGCCTTAGACAACTGCCTGTATGACCAACTCTACATCTCTAAGCCTTGATTTCCTTGCTTGTAAAATGTAGATAAAGCACCTAACTCAAAGAATTGTAAGAATTAAGTTAAATAAACTGTATAGACGTCTTAGTGTAGGACATAACACAAAAGTATACTGTAATCGCGCAGGGAAACCAGTGCAAGTCTGGTTTTATTTCATCCCATTTGGGTGTACGTGGTTACTCTCAGTGACCCTCAGCACTGCCAGAGGTATATTGTTTACAATTCCCCTGTCTGCTGTTCCTTTCCCTTACTAAGGCTGATTCTCAAGAGAGAATGCCAGTCTAACCCTGTTCTTTTCTGTCCTCCTTGATCACTCAGGCCTCGAATACCTCTGCCCTCCCTTTGGTCTCCCTATTCTTCTATGTGGTGACAGATGGCAAGGAAGTCCTACTACCAGAGGTTGAAGCCAAGGGGCAGTTGAAGTTCATCAGTGGGCACACCAGTGAACTTGGTGACTTCCGCTTTACACTTATGCCACCAACAAGTCCAGGGGATACAACCCCCAAGTATGGCAGGTAATTGGGGGAAGACAATGTTGGGAGATGGAAGGGGTGGTATTGATGCTGACTTTGATTTGTCTCCCCCACCCTACCTTCTTTCTACCAATTATTTGCATTTTCACCAGTCTCCATGTTCCTTGCCTGAGACCACCCAGCCTGACTCCTGAGCACTTTGTATTTCTCTTTATAATGACCACTGCCTTCTCCTGAATATTTTCTATTTATCTTCTTCCCTTCAAGCTACAATGTCTTCTGGACATCCAACCCAGGATTGCCCCTGCTGACAGAGATGGTAAAGAATAGCCTAAATAGCTGGTTTCAGCATAGGTCCCCAGGGGCCTCCCCTGAACGCTACCTTGGCTTGCCAGGATCTCTGAAGTGGGAGGACAGAGGCCCAAGTGGGCAAGGGCAGGGGCAATTCTTGATACAGCAGGTGACCCTGAAAGTTCCCTTTTCTATAGAGTTTGTGTTTGAATCAGGTAGTGCCCAAGCAGGAGGAAATCAAGCCCTGCCAAGACTGGCAGGCAGTCTACTGACCCAGACCCTGGAGAGCCATGCTGAAGCCTTTAGAGAGCGCTTTGAGAAAACCTTCCATCTGAAGGAGAAGGGCCTGAGCCCTGGCGAGCAAGCTTTGGGTCAGGTTGCCCTCAGCGGTCTCCTTGGTGGAATTGGCTACTTCTATGGACAAGGGCTGGTATTGCCAGACATGGGGGTGGAAGAGTCTGAGCAGAAGGTGGACCCAGCCCTCTTTCCACCTGTACCTCTTTTTACAGCGGTGCCCTCCCGGTCATTCTTCCCACGAGGCTTCCTTTGGGATGAGGGCTTTCACCAGCTGGTGGTTCAGCGGTGGGATCCCTACCTCACTCGGGAAGCCCTTGGTCACTGGCTGGGCCTGCTAAATGCTGATGGCTGGATTGGGAGGGAGCAGATACTGGGGGATGAGGCCCGAGCCCGGGTGCCTCCAGAATTCCTGGTGCAACGAACAGTCCACGCCAACCCCCCAACCCTACTTTTGCCTGTTGCCCACATGCTAGAGGGTGGTGATCCTGACGACTTGGCCTTCCTCCAAAAGGCCTTCCCCCGCCTGCATGCCTGGTTCTCCTGGCTTCATCAGAGCCAGGCAGGCCCAGTGCCACTGTCTTACCGCTGGCGGGGACGGGACCCTGCCTTACCAACCTTACTGAACCCTAAGACCCTACCCTCTGGGCTGGATGACTACCCCCGGGCTTCACACCCTTCAGTTGCTGAGCGGCACCTGGACCTGCGATGTTGGGTGGCACTGGGTGCCCGTGTGCTGATGCGGCTGGCAGAGTATCTGGGCGAGGCTGAGGTAGCTGCTGAGCTGGGCCCACTGGCTGCCTCACTGGAGGCAGCAGAGAGCCTGGATGAGCTTCACTGGGCCCAAGAGCTAGGAGTCTTTGCAGACTTTGGGAATCACACAAAAGCAGTACAGCTGAAGCCCAGGCCCCCTCAGGGACTGGTTCGGGTGGTGGGCAGGCCCCAGCCTCAACTGCAGTATGTAGATGCCCTTGGCTATGTCAGTCTTTTTCCCTTGCTGCTGCAACTGCTGGACCCTAACTCATCCCGCCTTGGGCCCCTGCTGGACATTCTAGCTGACAGCCGCCATCTCTGGAGCCCCTTTGGTTTACGCTCCCTTGCAGCCTCCAGCTCCTTTTATGGTCAGCGCAATTCAGAGCATGATCCTCCCTACTGGCGGGGTGCTGTGTGGCTCAATGTCAACTACCTGGCCTTGGGAGCACTCCACCACTATGGGCAACTGAAGGGTCCTCACCAGGCTCGGGCTGCCAAACTCCACGGTGAGCTTCGTGCCAACGTAGTAGGCAATGTATGGCGCCAGTACCAGTCTACAGGCTTCCTTTGGGAGCAGTACAGTGACCGGGATGGGAGAGGAATGGGCTGCCGCCCTTTCCACGGCTGGACCAGCCTTGTCTTACTGGCCATGGCTGAAGATTACTGAAGGGAGGGAAAGGAGGGGAGCCAAGCCACTCTGGCTCTGGAGGGACAAAGTCTGGCTTCTGCCCCCAGCCCCTCAGATACCAGCAATTCAAACTTTCATTTCATCTCAGGTGTCTCCATACTGTCATCCCACATAGCCCTGGGGTGAATGTGAATTCAGAGTCTATTTTTCTAAATAAATTGGAAAAAACATTTTGAACTCTATTGCTCTTGCCAGATTTGCCTCACCAAGAGGCCTCAGATCAGTCCAGGGTTCAGGATTGTCTACTGTCCTCAGGAAAGGTGGGGTCAAGTGGCCATAACCTGTCTCCTTCAAACACAGTCAAGTACAATGCAGTGAATTGAGCTTTAGTCCACCCAAATCCACAAGTGGCTGGTTCACATCTCTTTAATGAGATTAAAGGCTCCTGTGTATGTCTTGGGGAGATAAAGCTAGCACAGTCCCCCAAATACTGCCCCTCTCCTCAGGGCTCTGGCCCTTTCAGGCAGATTCTAGATGGGCAGGAAGGGGCCAAAGGGAACGAAAGGAGTTGGGACCAGGGCTGTTTCTGGTGGGCAAGTAACCCACCCACCTTCTCAAAACTACTTATGGGATGTCCTCTTCACTGGAAGCCAGCCCCAAGGGAGATACCTGCAGTACAGAATCTGGGGGCAGTGCACAAGGGGCTGGCAGGGTGGCACTAGCCCTCACCTCCTTGACTGGCTCACCCTCACCGGAGGTAGGACAAGGGCAGAGCTCAATACCCGAGTCACCGGTCAGACGGCGATAGCGGCAGGAGGGGGGTGTGGGGGCAGGGCTCACCCCTGCCCCAGGCTCACCCTCCTGATGAGGGGGGGCACTCTGGTGGGAGGAAACACCTTCCACATTTGTTCCCTCAAAGTGGGCAGGGCAGGTGGATGAGGAGGAACAGCAGGTTTGTTCACTGGAAGCAGTCAAGGGGTGGCCTGGGGCCACAGTATAAGGAGGAGGTGGTGTGCCTGGGCGGTGAACCACATCTTCGTAGGCTGGAGGCTTGAAGGTGCTGAAGAGGCCTACAGGGGAGAAAACTGGCATGACTGGTTGAAGGCAACCAGGTGGAGGGTACTAGTTTTTATGTTAGGGAAAAATATTTTGAAATATGTAGAAAAGGGAATGTGATGATTTGGGATCCTGGTTTGGGAAGGGCCACTGGTAGCTGACCCAGGGCCTCAAGTCACTCACGAAGGTCAAGCAGTGAACTGGTAGGGAAAGGACCAGCCCCGTGGCATGCCCCATGATAGGCCAACAAGTTGATCTCACGCTGCCGCTGCTGTTGTTGCAGCCGGAGTTTAGCTCGTCGGTGGCGGAAGGCGCAACAGCAGCTAAAGAGGATGAGAACAGTCCAGAGCAGCCAGAACCCTGCAAGAAGCAACAAGGGAGTAACTCAGGCATCTCCCATGTAAAGAAGGGACCCTGAAGGCTGAAATTCTAGGTCCAAGGGAGGGTGGGGGCACAGGGACCTGAAAATAGCCCTCTTGGAGACTTACACCAGAGCTCATAGTAGTAGGTACAGCAGCCAGTCTCCCCACAGCAGTGACCACTCTCACAGAGGTAGGGCTGGTTGTTCACTCCTGGGCACAGCTCTCGAAGCTGGGGGCAAAGAGGCACTTAGAACTAAGGGGGATTCCAGCACAGGGCACTGTCCACCCCCACCTCCTGCATGCACATACACAATCCCACCCTGTGAACCAAGTTCAGCTTGGAGAGGTGGGGGAAGTGGAGGATGCTGAGAGGAGTGTTCAAATATCTGAAGGACTGTCAACGTGGAAGAGGTTTTGGAATAGCAAGAATCAGTCTAGAGAACAAGACAAAAGTGTGGACAAAGAGGGAGATTTCAGCTCTGCATATATGAGACTTCCTTCACACTCAAGTCTCACCCTCCCCAACCCTCCCTACCCTCATCCCCCCCAGTGCTTTCTGTTAAGGGAGTGTTTTGGTGGAAGCCAGAAGACAGTCTGAGATAATCTAAAAGTCTCAGACACTCGGTAGGGGAAGGTCATTTCCAAAGCACGTTGCTTTCGTCATCCTGCACGGTTCACTGCCCCCACCCCCAACTGGATCTTTCCACCCATGGGCCTCAGGCTCCCTAGGGTAGAGGAGGGCAATGTGAGACCCAGAGCAGTGCTCCCAACCAGATGGGATTGCTGTGGATGATAAAGGATGGCATCCAGGGCGCGAGTCTGGGTTCCAGCTCTTCTCCAAATTGCTCCCTCAAGAGAAGACGCTGCCGGACTCTGTTGTGACAATAGGCACATAGAAAAACATCACAAATAACTGTTGCAAGACAGAGGGAGCCTTTCTGGGGCCTCACTATGCCTCTGGTCACTGGAGAGCCACCGCAAGCTTCCATTGCAGCCATAGGATAGGGTCTATGAGGCTACAGGCAAAGTCACCTGCATCTACGTTACAAAGTTTAGACAAAGAGTGGAAGGGACGTGTTTAGGAACTTCACAGTACCTTTGGCTCCTTAAGTTCCTCCCCCACCCCCAAAAGGAAGGGACAAGAAAAGGGGAAAGAGACAAATGGCTGTCGTGATAGGCTTTGGAGCTGTTGGGATACCTGCTGTTGCGGCGCCCGAGGTGCCCCCCAGGCCTCCTCGCTGCCGTTCCCGCTGCTGGCCCGAGCCATGCCTCCACCTACAGCCCCCTGAGGACCACAGGCTCCTCTACCGCCAGCCGCCCCGCCCCTACCACCTCTGCTGCCACCGCCATGGTCCCTGTCCGGCCCATCTTCACTGCCGCCACCATCACTCCGCGGCCGGAGCTTCCATCCGGCGAGAACTCCACCAACTAGGACTCAGATTGCTCTGCCCTACCAATCAGCATCGTCCCTCGACGGACGGGCCAATAGGAACAGATCAGAGGTTTCTCCTGTGGCCAATCCACAGCAGCGCCTTCGCCGCTCTCCCAGACAACAAGAGCTCGTATAGACAAAGAGTGGGGGAAGGTTCGACCCACCGCCCTGACTGATAGCGGTAATAGCCAATACAGACAACAGAACAGGCTCTGGCTTATCAACCAACGAACAGCCACCCAGAAGAGCAGAGTTGCCGCTGATTGGCTTGCGCCATGTTTTCGGGATGACGCCGAATGCCCAACCAAGCCAGGTAATCCCGGCTGGAAGAGGCGGGGTCCCAAAAGTCGGTCCCAGTCTGAGCGTAAACCAGCCTGCTCTCTTGCAGCGGCTTCCAAGCCCCAGGCATCGACGCAAACTCCGATAGGAGCAAAAGATGTGTATACCGGCGACTGCTCTGCCCACTACATCCCACTCCCCCAATTCTATACAAGCCGAAGCACCGGATGAAATTTAATAGGGTGGGGAAGACACTTGAAGAGCGGGCATGGGAAAGGGCGCAGAGTCCGGGTTAGGTAAGGGCCTTACGTAGCCAAAAGCGGGGATCCAGGGCCCTCGGGCCCCCCTAGCCGCATCTGCAGGTTGATGCGGTAGCACTGAAGACTGCAGAGTGCCTGGCCCGTGCGGGAGCAAGCGTAGCGGCGCGGATGGGGACAGCCGGGGACAGAGCAGCGCGGAGGAGGGCCTGAGGGGGATGGCCGCGGAGATACCGCCGTGGGGGCGGGGACGCCAGGTGGGAAGGAAAGGGTGGAACCCTGTGTTCCGCTGCAGTAGCGCACCATGGGGGCCGGAGCCGCGGCCCGCCCTCCCCGCCGCTCGCCCCGTGCGGCCCCCCGGCCTCCCCGCCCGCTGGGCGCCGCAGTCTTGGTGAGCCGCTCGATAGTCTGGTTCTTATGCTCCTCTGCCCGCCGCGCCGCCTGGAGCCGCCGCTTCCGCGCCCGCTCCTCGCGCTTCAGCAGCATCTCCTCTGTGAGGGCGGGGGCTGGACAGCCCTCAGCCACCGGCAGCGGCAGCATCGGGGAAGGCTGACTCCGTGCCTTCTGAAGCAGAGCTCGCTGGGAAGAGACAGAGACAGGGTGCTGTCTGAAAATGGAGGAAGATGGAAAGGAGAGGTCGGCGAGATCCGGGGAGGGGGGAAAGAAGGGACACGGAAGGCAGGGTCTTGAACAACGCAGGCGTTGGGAAACGGGATATTAATTAGCACCCTCTCCAGGACACCTTCCATAGGTTCCTCTTAATAAATACTGCGTCCTCCCTGATCTCTTGACATTCAGCTTTAGATCCTTAACTCTCAAGGAGAGAAGCATCAGCAATGTTACCTGCCTGACCTATACAAGAAAACTCTGTACCAGCTTTCCCAAAAGTCTGTTGTTTTTAATCTTCCCTCGATAGACATCAGTATCATGACGGCTCAAGTCAAAATCCTAGGCTTAGCCTTGATATATTTTCTCTTCATTCTCCTCCCCACAAGTATCTACTTCCAAAATATAGCCATAATTCATCTGATATTTCCATGTCCACCACTTTCATCTTGGTTAAAGCATCCACTGTCTCTCAGCTGATTACTTCAACAGCTTCCCAGTTGGTCTCCGTACTTCTGTCTCTTGTCTCCACAGAGATTCATTCTCTACAACAATGCAAGACTAATATATTCAAATGTAAACCAAGTATATCACTTCTCTGCATACAACCCTTCAGTGGCTTGGCCAGTTTTTCTTCTTTACTCTGCTAGGCATGTTCCAGTGTCACAGTCTGTGCACCTGCTGGTCTCTGCTGGAAAAGCTCCTCTGGTATTGCAAATGTTACCTCTTCAGAGAAGCCTTCTCTGACTATACCCTAATGTCTCTTCTCCATCAGTTTCTATTTCTTTTTGTTTACGCCACTTTGTATTTCACCACCCTATTCTTTTTATCGTAAACCATATAGCTTTTTGAAATTATTTATTTACTTATTTACTTCCCAGCCCCCAACATACACACTAGAATACTTAGCTTCAGGAGAACAGAAACTTTGTCTGTCTTTTCTCCACTATCAGTATCCCCACTGCCACACAAAGTGCTTGGGTCGTGGAGAGTTCTCAATACTATATACATTTGGTGAGTGAATAAACAATAAACCAAAATACCTGTCGAGCAGTAAGCAGCCGTTCATTGATCTCCTTCTTGAGGTCTCCATTGTCGTCCAGCTCCCCCTTCTCCAGGGCATCCAGCCACCTCTGCTCCTCCTCTTCCTCCTGACCCCCTAACCCTCCTGATAGGTCCCGAAGTGGAGACGGAGACAGATTACTGTCTTCATCTGGGAAGGAAAGTTGGAGAAGAAAAAAATAGAATTGTTCAGATGGGGTACCCTAATTTGGCCCAGTTAATACTGGGACATGGAAAATCCTAACCCATTTCAGAACCAACCTTCTTCCTTTAGGCATATGTATAATAAGAAACCCAGTTTCCCCACCTCCAGACCCTTCTCACCCAGCCAGGCACGGTATTGCTCAAGGGGGACTCCTTCCATAGGTTCCTCTTCATTATCCACAACCATAAGGGGAGAGGGTGAGCGAGGCCCCTCTGGGATCACAGTGAAGGTAGGAACACTGCAGAGAAGCAACACTACTCTTTAAAATGAGCAAGTGTCTCCTCCTCCTACTCAGTAGCTACACCCAACTTTCCCCACACTCTTAGACTCTTGCTGCCTAAACCTGGGCCCTGAAGTCAGTGTCCTGTCTGTCTTCTAGAAAGCCCAGTCGGCTTCTAACTACCATCTCTGCTCCTAAAGTTCCCCTTATAAAACTTCGACCCTCTTGACCTCACCTCTTGGTCCCCAGGACTTGTCCCCCCAGCTTGATTTTGAGTTTGAGCTGGGGCTTGGCAGGAGACGGCTGCGTGGGCCCGGCCTCTTCTTCCTGATGGTGTTTCTTCTTGTGTTTCTTCTTGTGCTTCTTGTGTTTTTTCTTGTGCACCCCATGGCCATGGGCACCTGCCAGGCTCAACTCCAGGGTTTCTCCTGCGGAAGGAGCGCCTGTCAAGTGTTCGGCCAGAGAGTGGCAGGGGAAGCCCTGAATAACCTGAGGCCCCTACCGGATCCCACTCTTCCCGCAATACTCGCTGTTACCATAACAACAGCACCACCTTTCTCCTTCCCACCTGTGGCCGAAGGACCTGGACGCTCCGAGAAGCAAGAAAGGGACTTCTTTTTGAGCAAGTCCTAAAATGTTTGATCTATCCGCGCTTACCCGGCTCAGGGGCCTCCATAGCCCCAGAGGTACTCCCACGCCGCCACAGCTTACTCATGAGTTCTTGCAAGGAAAGGGGACTAGAAATGGTTGGGACACACGCAGACATGCCTTTTCCGCCCAGCGGAATAACTGGAGCCAGCAAAATAACCAGTTACTTCCGGTTCATGGCAACCATCTTTGTGCGGGGCACGCTTCGCATCCAAAATTGTCCCTGAGAAACAAGGATACTTCCAACTAAAGTTCCGGGCCCTCTGAGGTCGGGACCGCCCAAAAAGGCAGGGCTTTCCCCTGGCTCCGCCTCCCCACGCTAGATTCCAGAACTCAGCGCGGGTGAGTCAATTATTGAACTCAACTTTGGTGAATGTATACTCCAGACGAAGTACGGAAAGATAGTCTAAGAGGATGCAAAGATGAGTATGAACACCGCCCCTGTCCTTAAGGACCTCACATCAATATAGTTTATGTATTCTTTGGGTGGAGGAATACATAAACTATATTGATGGCTAAAGGGCCGAAATGCTTGAACAGCACGAGTGCCTCCAGAGCAGTGCAAATGCTCTTAGGTATTTAAACCTAAATTTCCATCAGGGGAATGAATAAATGAATTATGGTGCAGCTGTACAATGTGGAACACCATATTGCTAAGAAAAGTTGAGTGATAAGTAATTAATAAGATTGACACAGAATTTAGATCCCAGTGGGTGATAGCATTGTAAACAACCTAAGCGTCCTAATGAACTTGGAATATCCATACAATGGGATGTTATGCAGCTTGGAAAAGAAATGAGGTGCCCCAGAAGGCTAGCTAGGAAATTGGTAACAGCCAATTCCTGATGAGCAGCTGAAGAACAAGGGTGGACAGAGACCTATTTTTTATGATTATACCCTTTTGTGCCGTTTGAATTTTATATAAAACGTGTGTATTTTACCACATTTTTAAAAAGACAAAAAAACAAGTAGGTTTATATGTGCTGATACATGAAATAAGAAAAGTAAATTTCAAGATTATGTGATCTGAGTTTTAAATGCATAACATACTAGCAAATGCATAGAAAAAAATTGAGGAATGTATACCATACTGTTAATGGTTATCTGTAGAAGTTGGGGTTGAGGAACTTTCACTATCTAGGTCTGTAATGTATTTTCTTATAGCCAATGTATATCATGTTTATAATTAGAAAAAAACCTATATACATATATCTAAATATATATGAATGTCTGAGCAAGGTAGCAGCAGTGAAAAAAGAAAGGAAAGAACTCAGCCAGACACAGTGGCTCACACCTGTAATCCCAGCACTTTGTGAGGCCAAGACAGGTGGATCACGAGGTCAGGAGTTCAACACCACCAGCCTGGCCAAAGAGAACAGCCTGGCCAACACGGTGAAAATCCATCTCTACTAAAAATACAAAACTTAGCCGGATATGGTGGTGGGCACCTGTAATTTCAGGCAGGAGAATTGCTTGAACCCAGGAGGTGGAGGTTGCAGTGAGCCAAGATCACACCATTGTACTCCAGACTGAGCGACAGAGAGAGACTCCGACTCAAAGAAAAAAAAAAAAGGAAAGAACTCATTCCTCTTGTCTCTTACATTTAAGTGATAAAATTATCAAGAATCAATGAACAATTACATTGGGGAATCCAGGATGAAGTCATGTAGTATGTGATTATGAGATTATGAAGAGGGATTTTGGAGTCAGACAACCCTATTATCAAATCCCAGTTTCACCATTTATTAGCTATACCACC